GTGTGTGGGGGCTGTTTTATGTTGATCATTGTGATTGATTCCCCCTTCTCCCACCTTTCCCCTACTCTTATGGTATCGCTACTCGCAATATTGCTCTTGAGGGGCTTATCTGTCCTGGTTCCGTGTGTAGAGAGCTCTTATCTGTACCAGTGTACATGCTCCAGTCTAGCTGGATTTGTAAGGTAAAACTGGGTCATGATAGGGGGTGGTGGTGGGGGAAGCATAAAAGAACGAGAGGAATGCTATGTTTCATTGGTGCTCTTCTGCACCCTGGCTGACTCATTTGTTTCTTGTGACCCTTCTGTGAGGGGATGTCCAATTGTCTACAGATGGGCTTTAGGTCTCCACTCCTACCCTTCTCATTCACATCAATATAATTGTTTGTTTTGCATCTTCTGATACCTGATGCCATCGATACTTCATGCTCACACAGGCTGGTGTGCTTCTTCCATGTGGACTTCCCTGCTTCTAGCTTCCCTGCTAGATGGTGGTTTGCTTAACTTCAAGCCCTTAAGACCCAGACACTATATCTTGTAATAACTGGGTACCATCAGCTTCACCCCATTTACTTATGAACCCATTTTGGCTTCAGCAATTGTGTCAGGAGGGTGAGAATCACAGAATGCCAGGTTATTAGAACAAAGAGTTCTTGTGCTGAGGGAGGGCAAATCATAGTTTATGAAACAAAAATATCAAAATAGGAAGCTATTTTTTTTCTCAACATATGCTCCATCTAGGCCTATGCACTTCTGAAGGTGACATTTCCATCTCTCTACCTATTACCGACAGACGTCTGCTCTCTGACTTACACCACATCAAAGTGGGCATTCCAACTCCCTGAGCGGCTCCAAGCATGCTCTTTTCATTTAACTATTTGCTTCCACAGCCTTCCCTTCATTTATAGTATTAAACCTGTGACCATGACTCTACTTCAACGACAGAGGGAACTCAGGAATGAGGTCTTGAGTGCAACTGCACACTTAAATAGAAGTGCGTCGTGTTTCAGATAAATATCCAAACTCTTCTGAATTCTGGTGTCAGAGAAAAAGCCCAGCGA